CTCTGACGAGTGGTCCAATGAATGCTTTTCTGATGTTCTTAACAAGTTTCGGATATATTCGGTTACACTAAGAAAATGATTTTAAAAAAGTAGTTAAGTCAGTTTACTAATATTTGTTAGTTTATTCACTCATTCTTTTTCTCGACGTTCCGGGACCTTGGATTTGGTTCCATATTCAGAAGCTGTGATTGCTCAAATAATTGAAACATAGCCTTACTTTGTAGTCGATTTTTAGATATAGTTGATTACAACATTCACGTAAAACTTGATTTAAAATAGTTTTTAGCCGAACAGCTAGAATTGTATGGAATAATTCGTAAATTCTGGCGCTTCCTTCTTGAACTCACCAAAATTCCAAATTGTAGAACTTCCAGATTGCAATTCCCTTTGTCGACAATGGAGACAATGCAATATGAAGTTAACATATTGATATCCTGTTCCACATTTTTCTTGTATGTCTACTCGACATTAAACACTTCAATTCAAAGATTAAAGAATTCCCGCCAATTGAACAGCCGAAGTCCAATTTAAACATTAAAAGTTATCTCCCCATTGTATTCTAAATGGTTCCTGATTGCTACAGCGACAATCGTCAACTGTTCCATTTAACAATAAGAAACTCGAATATATAGTACTAGAGAAATATATTAAGTATTTAAAGATTTTAATATTTTCATAAAATAAAACACCTTATGAACGAGAAACACCAATTAAAATGTTGACATTCATCTGTTCTCATAAGAGATCATAATGAAGCAGTTTTGCGGACATATTCAATAAGAAATTCTTAAATCATATTGACACAAACCATGAATTAAAATTAAAACCATGATCCTGTATAATTCTCGTATGTACGTAAGAGAGGAAGGGGAGCCCTTAATGACGAGGAATTGATCGACACAATTTTTATTTTAGGACGCATCATTCACGGTGACAATTTTTTCAAGATGTCAATATTAATACATAAAATAAATACCTTCTATACCCAATCCACTAGATCGGAGATATGTAATACATGTATGCTGTTTTAAAACGTAATAGAAACAAAAATGGGAATTATGTATGTTTTGTGTGTATTATATATGTTATACAACATTTACACGTTATATTTGATCAGTACTTCACTATTTGTAAGTAACATGCCTTCCCACAGAGATATATAATAAGAAGGGTCAAAATTACATTACGAACGCGGCGTTGCACTAACAATAGGAAGCAGAGATAAATCAATTGACGTCAGTGTATGTTACTTGAGTTATTGCTAAGGTTGTCCCCTCTCAGAAATTAATTCGCAGACCACTCTTGCCAAAGCAGGGATATTTGAATATTGGAAAGAAATTCACGCATTTTGTATGAAAAGTATAGGTGAAAAGTATAGGTATATTCATTAATAAAAATAAAATTGTATTTTATAATAAAAATAATAGTACAATAATAATATTTCACATAAAAACTATTCCACATTTACATCCACAGAAAAGTTTGCTGACAGACAGCCTCGAATCAAAATTATCGGTAATGCTGGCCGAAAATTGATTGGGTGTGAACCAGAGCTCTTGCAAATCTTGGAAGTGGCCAATGGAGTCCCAGACGAAAACGTGTCGTTAGACAAAATTCGCAGAAAGAGACGTCAACAAGCCTACACACGCTATCGCACGTACCCACGCCAAGCGCACGGTGTTATCGCGGTCGGTTTGTTTTCGTCCTTTATCGTCCACTTGCCACAGCTCTCGGGGCAATTTAACGGTTCCAGATAAGATAGCGCGAAATCTTAAAAGGGCTCTCGAGTTTTAGGACCATGATATAATGACTAGCTTGCACATGAATAGCTTAAGCGAGAGCTTAAAGTCAATTGTACGATACAGAAAATTCACATAAAAATACAAAAACAACTAATGTCAAATTGATGTTTATAAACGCCTCTAAATTGGTCTCTCTTCTCGTCAACTACTATTATCCGATGACAACACTATATTTTCTGAATATGTAGCGTTTCGCCTATAAACCAGGTGAGGCCTTACGAATATAAAAAAACAACACATGAACAGTAGTGATCGTCTCCCTGCAAAGAAAGTTTGTTCCCCTTCAAAGAAATTGAACGGCATACTTGAATGTTTCAATCCTGTCATACACGAGAGATAGTATAAGTAGAATAGTCATTTGAAGTCATTGCATTATATGAATCATTACATGGAAGAAGATTCTGTGAAGAACAAATCTCTAGGATTGGAAAGCAAACAATAAAGAGTCAGTTGGAAAACGAAAAACCTGCATATAGAGATTCAACACATATTCTTGGGCTCAGAGTAGTCTTCATTCAATTAACAGAATGTGTAATGTTAATAAATTATGTTCTTTTTTTATAGTTTTGAAAAACTAACATTTTTTACATGAGCTTCCTTTTTACATCAAACGGTATGAAATTTTATGTAAATAAACTCCCTGACTTCGTTCTTCCTGCTTTGCCAGCTGATTTCATCACTTTTTCCCCTCTGTATCAAATCCGTTTGCTTAAATATTTCCTAAACCAAATCGATTTTTCACGCCTTTTCCTTGCCAAAAAAGTATTTCAAATGGCCAACACAGTATCATCAGTGCTAAAAAAACAACTTTAATTTCCCCCAATCCCTTTTGCAGGTGTTACGAAGTCAAGCCACATCCTTCGTTCGGTTCTCTTCCCTTTAAGAAGTCTCTTCCGTGAACTCGGCCAGCTGCGCAACGAACATGTTTTCCATTATCAGCTGTCGCCGACGCTCAAGGTGCCCTCTGCCCAGCTGTTCCTTGCTCCTCCGCGAATTAAGGGGCGGACCCCACTAACGGTTCTTAGCGAAAAAATCAAGCAACGAGTGCTACATTATGCAAACTTGAAACTAACTTCATTAATTTCATTTGACTGTCGTTCTTTGATACTTTTTCCTGAACAATGGGAGAATTTTGATCAGGACAACTTTAATACAAAAAGAGTTATGTTGCAGAATAGAAGTAATATTCTTTTTTTAATGAGACTAAAAGTAAATATACAAAGATAATGAATATCTACGGGACCTTCATATTTTCAATTTATCTTCATGCCCATGTCAAGTTGAAGGACAATATTCAAATTTATTCAGTAGTTTATCGGCAGATACATTTTGATGAAAACATTTATGAACATTTAATTTTGATGCCACATGTAAATATGGAAATGATAGGGAAATAAAGAGATAAACTCATAATAGAGCATCACAAAAGAATTTTAACGAAGACAATTTAATTAGGATTTCTAGTAGGGTAACACACATTAAGATTCAGACGAACACTAAGACACAGAACGTAATGTCATACGAATTAACTAAAACAAAACCCATATTATAAATAATCGACAGTCTATGTTAAATTGTGACAAAACCAAATTAGCTCATTTTTATACTGGAAGCAGCAGTAGTTATTTCAGTTCCATAACAACTGACCGCACCACTTGGGTGGGACCCAGAGACAGAGTAACAACACCGCTAGCGACGCAAACAGTTGTGTTTCCGTCAACAACCCCGCCCCCCTCTTGCTACTGGGCAGGTGGCTCGCAGGGGGCTCCCAGGCCCCCCTGTCACGTGCTAGCACCTGCAGAAGCCAGCTGACGCACAGGGAGTGCCTCGTGCTGGGCAAAGGGATTCTCCGTTTCCCTGTGACCTTGGAGTGCCTCGCATGCCCGGACCCATTATTTCAACTGATAAGATAATTCTTGCTCGGCATTGTTATCCTCCTTGGCGTAATAAATTGGCACTCGCGAATAATCGTGTATAATACATAATATGGGCACAGACACACTAACTCAATACCTTATTAATTTAGATTGACTGCTTGATGGTTAATGATCCCGGGAGCGTAAGTGTGGTGTATGTTTCTTTCCTCGGCAGGTGGCGGTGATATTTTCCCACATATCCGGACCCGACCTACCGTCGACCTGCGCGGTTTTCCCTAACCAGATATCTCTCACCATCGAAGCACTGTCCCAGCCGGGGCAAGATCTAAGATCCCGACCGGTCTCCCGGCATGTGTGCTGGTGTAGTGATTGTTAGTGCGTGCGTGTGCGTATGTAAGGGGGTGAGGATAGCTCAAGGAAGAGGAAGAAAAGATCGCGCCCGGTCCGTGGCCCGTTTGTCAGGGTAATGCATCGGCATTCGCCTTATATTCATCGGAGAAACCACGGAAAACTACCGACCAGAACAGCCGGCAGCTAGAATTCTCCAGTCAGCGGCTGAACGACCTAGTCGGGGGCTCCCTTGCCCACGAGTAGAATGGAGAGTACCGGGAGAGGTGGCTCAGGGCATCAATTGATGTCACTGCAGTGCCTCTGGCCAGGCGGTCCTACGGTTCCACTCCAGATGGTGGCAGGATTTTCGGCTCTAGCGAGCTCATAGCTAGGTCCAGTTCTGCCGCTGTGTGGAGAAGAATTCTCATGATCGGTACTTTTCCGGGGATTCTACTGTTATACCGAGCAGTTTCCTTACAAACGGGCCACGGACCGCGCGCGATCTTTCTTTCCTCTTCCTTGTATCTTCGACCCTTACACACAGTAAGAAGCACTACACAACCACACGTGCCGGGAGACCGGTCGGGAGCTTAGAGCTTGTCCCGGCTGCAGCGGTGCCCTGCTGGTGGGAGATACTTGGTAGGGGAAATCTCGACCGGTAGGCCGGCGCCGAATCTCATCGCCCACCGAGGGAAGATGACGGCCACCACCCGCACTAAAACATGCCCTGCACTTACGGGAATAATTACCTAAGCAGTTGACACGCCCGGGATCACTAACCAACGCGTAGAGTGAAATGGAATGTAGTTGTTTAGAATGGAGTGGAATGGAATGGAGTGGAGTTGAGTTGAGTGGAATGGAATGGAGCGGAGATGAGTTGAGTGGAATGGAGAGACATGGATTGGAGTGGAGTTGAGCGGCGAGGGGCGGGGTGGGGCGGGGTGAGAGGAGCGGCGCGCGGCTCACCTGTCTTGGTGGGGCTGGGGATGACGTCGATGTTCTCCTTGGCGGAGTCGTCGTGGGACGCGCCGCGGATGAGCGCGCTGGGAATGTTCTTGGGCGGCGTGCGCGCCAGCGGCGAGTGGCGCAGCTGCAGCAGGAAGGCGCGCTCGTACACGATGCGGGTGCCTGCCACACACGCGCGCACCGACCCTCTCAGCACAGGGAGCCAACTAATGCCTACGCAGTGCACTTCTACGCTTTTCAATATTTATGCCTCTTGCTTCAAACCGAAATTTCTTGACATTTGGTTACGATTAGATGCTATGTAGATTAATATGTTAGTGCATATTTGGTCAATATTTCCTGTTCGGGCCTATTTGCGTAATTACATGGGTGTATTTTGCATATTTCGTTAGAAGAGACTTATCTCTAAAACTTTTTATCTTTTCATAGAATTTATTATTTGTGGGCGTTCATTATTTAGAAAGAGCTTGACACTATTTGCTTTTTTTTGTTTTCAATAGGTTATAAAATACTTGTGTAAATGTCAGATATTTCTTTCTAAGTCTTACCGAGAAATGAAAAAAACGTTTCTTAAAAGGAAACGCACATCAGAAAGGAAGGGAGTAAATGACTATTTGAAAATAATTTAAAATTAAAAGTAATTTTTAACTACCGGCTTTCCTTTGTGGGTTATCCAAATGTTACCCCAACTGTTTTTTTTCGATTATCAGAGAACGCGATGAGTTCATAAAATTAACCGATAACACAAATGGTATCGCCTGTTCGACGCAATGCGCTTTGCATTCGTGCATGTTGGTTTGCATAACCTACAGGCGCAATGTCAAGTGGGTCAAACTTATACGTGGTCAAACTTATACTTGTTCGATACGATCGTTTATTGTTTCCCTTTCGAAGGATATTAGCTGATTTAAAGCACGCGGGGAAGCATATGTGATGAAAAATCATCATTGTTTGTATATGTACCTGCACATGATCAGTTTTAAAAATACAGATGTTGTTTGACGCAGAATAAGTAAGAAAAGTTTGCCCAAAGATTAAGCTCTAGGGTACGTACTTAGCGGTTAGGTATTGAATTAAACACTAAAATACATTCTTAGTTCATTAAAGAGATTTGATTATTAAACGCTGCCAGGAGAATATACAATAAAATATGAAATAGTAGCAAAAGTTGTGTATGAAAGATGTTCAACAGCAACGACAATACATGAATTTATTTAAAGGGAGTTCGTAAAAACGTCGAAAACAAAATTAACCTTATTATTGGAATAAATACTCTTTTATACACAGTGTGCTTCCCAGTAAGGACCGGGAGACAAAATTAACATAATTATCTGAATAAACACTGTTTTATAAACATTGTACATTGATTAGATGTCTTAAAGATGTTCTGTAGACCTATGAAGCTCTTACTTTACCAACTTACTGTCTGACAACTTTAACAAATTTTTCTCTTTCTAGGAAATGTTAAAAGTTGACTACCAGGAACATTCATGAATGTAAACAAGAAAAAGAAGAAAAGCATGGGAAGGGGGAAGTGAAATGCAATTAATGTTCCTGCAAATTGAGATTGTTTGGTTGCATTCCACAATTCTTTAGAATTGAATAGAAAATGCTCACTCCATACTTATACATAAGAGAGCAAGATAAAACACGAGACGGGGATATAGAATGATTTCATTATCATGTATTAGAGATAATGAAACACTTTTGAAAACCTGTTTGTCCACAATGTAAAGCGTGCACACACACACATGAATATTAGCTGGCCCTTCCTGTACGACGATAGTTGACTGAGACAAAAAAGAACGAAGTTAGAATAACCCCATTGTAAACGTTGTGTTTTTGTAGTCATACTCTCTAACACGTTTGATTTCAATCATGCACGGGGGATATTACTCACATTAAAGAGGCCACAATTAAATAACAACATAGAAAAGGTATCTTCAAGCTTTCTAGGAATTTATATTGTGTTCTCATTCACACTCACGAAACTATAACTTTCGCAAGGAACACCTAGAAGAATAATACACTAACGTGTATAAAACGAAAAATAGCCACAAAGATAAAGATGAATAATTAGAAATCAGAAACATTTGTCTGAAAAGCACCCGTACGAAACAATGAATCAACTCAGTTTATGGGAAACAATCTTCTTATTATAAAGAGTAAAGGAAATGACGTACATGAGTTTCGTTAAGAGATAAACTTCTTTATCTTCATTAAAGTTGAGTTGCACTATTGGAAATGTCAATGAAACCCGAGAGAAACTTGTGAAAAAAGTGAAAGAGGAGAAACAAAAGAATGCAGCAGTGAGCATGAACGAAGCAGACGCTCCAGACAGAACAGGTTCTTATTCCCTCCACGCTCCAACACACACGTTCTCGGCCGACGGAGAGGCTGTGGGGGCGGCAGGGAGGGCTCGTTCGGAACCAGTTTCACTGCTCAGGAAACGTGTAGGAGTTAGAAAACGGCTGTGAAATGAAACAAGCGTTATGTCGAATAGGCTCCTTATGTAACATACACGACCATCTGATCCTTAATCAGCGTACGAACAAAACGGGGATGTGAACATTAAAGAAATACACGTGATGGTTAATGGTCTGTACTACTTCAGTACGTAACATTACAGGAAACGTTAACTAACATTGTAGGAAAATAGAATTAAAATAATGAAGTTTGTAGACTAAGTAACGTAAATATTCCAACTTTGTGGTTACGCCATTTTTAACGAACAGACTCTCGTTTCTGTACATACACTCCTTTCTATATACAACGCGTTTATCCAGGAAAAATGATCAGAACGTTCAATCGCTTATTTATACCACTGCAAAGGGATTAACTTCCCGACAACTCAGGCTCAAGAGAACAGGTTCAGACACATCGGAATTTCAAGGTATTAATAGTTCTTTTGGAATCAACATCCTACAGAAATAAGATAAAAACAAGCGAACAACAGAAACAACACAAAGGGAATTGCTTCTCGAAACCACATCAACTATTGAGCAGATTCTCTGTCTCTTGTGATTTTCATAGGTCGAAACCCGTTTGGCAATAAACAATCATCGGCAAAGAGACGAAGAGGAGCACATACCGGCCACAGTGCAAGGGCAGCACACCTTCCTAAAAACGCAGCATCAATCGAACAGCGTCCCTCCCTTCGGAATCCCATTGCAAAAACCGCCTTTGATATCCAAGAATGGACAATCATATCGATAAGGCCATGAATATTTAATATATAAAAATAATAAAACAAACAAATTAACTATCTGACAACAGCCTCGATCAAACACGTTCACACCTTATGAAATTCCGAAGTATGAATCTCTGGCGACGAACAATCGACGGAAATGAAACAGCGCTCACATAATAGAAAGTCGCCCTATAGTTGGCTTCCGGCGGACAGATGCATCCTTGGGGCACTCTTGCGCATTCCAGGCGGCCGTTCCTCCCGTGGCAGCACAGAGCACTTGCCTCCTATACTCGGGGCGGTGCGTGGGTGGCGAAGGAGGCATAACACTCGACATACAAATAATGCAGGGTTAAGCTTCCCAGTAACATACTCACTCCTTTCGAAGTCCCATCGATATCCGAAGTAACAACGAAAACGAGCAAATGCGTAACACAGATAATGAACTGAACAATGTTTCGAACCAAGTCCAAATAATGTGCACAGGGCTGCATCCGGAGATCGCAGCAGGCACTGAAAAGCTTCACCCACTCCGGACGTCCAGTGCAGAAGTCCCCTTTGATAAACAAAATGCACGGAAGCAAACGAAAACCATGAGATGATATAATCTTCCGGCGAACACAGACACCGCGAATTAACTTCACTCCCATCGCAACTTCCATTCATAAGTTGCACTGTCAGAATGAACCATGATCGGAAGAGAATGAAAACAATGAGAAGGGGTCATCTCCCAGGTAACACAGGTAACTCGTTTCTAGTAATGAACAATCGATGGAAGAGAATGAAAACAAAGCGAAGATAGTATCATGAGATATTCCCGACAACACTGCCACCACCAATCAACTTCATTCCCTTCGCAACTCCCATTCGTACGTAGCCCTTTGAAAATAGCCATGATGGGAAATGAACGAAGCTTACGAGAAGGGTATCTTGCAGACAACACAGCCGCCACCGTACAGATTCACTCGCTTCAGAACTCCCAATGCATCGCCCTTTGGTAAACAAAAATGGAAGAAAATGAACCAAAACATGATGAAGGGATTATCTTGCAGATAACAACACAGACTCGGTCGTCCAGGTTCACTTCTTTTGTGATTGGCAGTCCACGGCGCGCTTTGGCAATACGCAATCGATGAATATGATGGGAACGAACGCGGCGTGAGCCCGCCCTGGGGCACTCACCTCCGGGCGTGGTGGAGTAGAGGGTGCCGCCGGGCGTGGACGCGTAGTCGGCGGGCAGCTGCGCCGGGTCGCTCAGGAGCACCTTGCGCGACGGGATGACCTGGCTCTGGGTGGCCTGGCGGGCGACGGGCGACGCAGACATCTTCGCGGTGGCGCAGACAGTCGAATAGACAGACAGAAATAGAGATAGAGAGAGGCGGCGGAGCCAGCTGTGGTCCGGTGGCGACTAGAGCGCGTCCCGCGGCGGAGGGCGGAGGCGGCGGAGGTGGCGGGCTGGCTGGCTGGCTGGTGTCGGACTGCGCGCAGCCGGGTGCGCGGCGCGCTCAAAATACCTCCGCCACCGCGCTAGTCAAGCGAGCGACCACGCGGAGCACGCGCGCCGACCGGACGCCCCCACCTCCGCCGCCGCCGCCGCCAGACGGGAATGGCAGGGGCGGGGGAGGGAGAGGGGGCGTGCACGCGGCAAGGACGCGCGGGCCGCGGCGGGCGGACGAGGAGGAGAGAGAACGGCGGAGAACAACAAGCCTTTGGTTGGTCCACGTGTTTTCTATTTCTTCTTTTCTCCTGATTTTCTATCGGTGCGCCTCTTTCTTGTGTGCCGCTTCTTTATCATCAGACTTCTCTTCCCATTATACTATTCTTTTGTTCCCTTTCTGTCCCTCCTCCTAACATATCCTTTTCCCTTTCTTTTCTTTCTTCTCCGTCTCCTCAGCTGTTCCGTTTGATGCTTATCTTCCTCCTTCTCCTTCCTCTCTTACTTCTTCACTTACTTTTTGCCTCCTTATCAATCTCATCCACCTTCCCCTGTCCTTCATTTCTTCTTCTTTTCTGTCACTGCCGTCATGTGGAGGAGAAGGAGGAGGGTGCGAAAGCGGCAAGGGCCCGAGAAGGGGGAAGAGAGAGGGAGAGAAAGGGCGGAGCAAAAAACAGAACATCCACAAGCGCACCGAAAATCGGCGTTTTTGAGAATGTGTGCAGTGGAATGTGGCGATTCCTCGTCAGAAAAACTAGTTTTGTGCGGTTCTGATATAAAAAACGGTAAGTATTTTTCCTATGTGTAGTAAATTACTTTCTCTAACACCTTTTGTAATGAGATTGTGAGATTTCACGTTCCGTGGGTCCTTAACACCGAAAAATGGTTTTACAGCAAAACGTATGTCTTTTCTCCAAAATTTATATTTACCAGTCGACGTGGTCGAGACCCCTGCGTGTTTGAAGCGGGAATTTTGATTTTGAGGCGTACTTTACATGATACAACATTTTCAAAATTTCTGAAAATTCGAATTTTCCAAAAAAATGTTTAATTTATTAATTTTCAAAAATATCATGTTACAAACAATGTGAAAAAGTATGTGTTGTTGCAGAACCAGTAGTTCTCTTCCTGTTCACTTTTATTTTCTTCCTCCATTGTTGCATCTGTTGCTCCTCGTTTCTTTTTTCTCCTCGGGGAGGAGCGCAGGAGGATAGGGGGCAGCAGCGGGGCGCGCGGCCGCAGGAGAGGAGCCAAGGGTTGCGACTGGTTTTGCTTCCGAACGATTTAAATTGTTGTTTCCGCATCCACCCAATAGCCAGCTCATCGACCAGCCACTTCTCGTGGGAACATTCACATGAAATGGACTTCTGTGTTTGAGGCCTCTTTTACTTCTCCTCCTCGGTCCCCGTCCCCTTTCCTTTTCCTCTACCATCCTCTTCTCCTCGTTTTTCTTCCCATTTCCTCCTAGTCCTACATCACCTTCTCCTAGTGCTACCCTAGGCGGGATGGCGTTCACTTGTCACAGGTTAACACAGATTGACCCTAGATTATCCTAGGGATAGATGATTATAATATTATTGATGACTACACACCAAAACCGTAAGTCTCGTTAGCTTCGAACCCTGACGTATTGCCGCAGCCGTTAGCAAAATGCTTGGTTATGGAGCAAGACTGAGATATACACAAGTTTGAGTGTGAAGCAACATCGACTCGAGTATGGTAAAGTATTATTTTGATTTGATTTACTTTGCCATAGAACAGAAAAATCTGTACGCGACGTATGCGGGAGAAGTACAATCTGCGCACATTACATATGATAGATTATTTATGATATTCAGTGTAAGTTTAGTTATGAAATTTGGGACATCGTGTTAACCGTATTTTAGTGCAGAAGAACTCGGTGCACAAGAAAACGCTTTTATTGGATTTTAAACTCTTTTACAATTTCAGCGGTGGCAATGCTACGTCCAGATGAATCACTCAACGCAAAAAATGTTGATAACGAATGAGACGTATAAACGTTTGTAAAGCATTTAAATGAATCATTTCACAGGTCAACGATGGTTCGGTAACAAAGGTCAAAGTATCATTGTCCTCACAATTTTGATTCTTATTTAATTACCACACAAGGGTATTAGGACTTTGGAAACTTGATACAAAGGATGGCTTCAGGAATACGTAATAGCGACTTTGCTGTTTTCTGAAGGAAGGTTTGACGCCACAGAGAAGTCATACAAATTTTGCATTGGGACATTTTTTATTGCAGTGAGGGCAAGTTAATATTTTAAGAAGTTTAACTAGTCCTAAAATATCTGTATTATATAATTGACAACACTATTTTATTATAAATATTATGATAACGGAAACTGCTATTATGAATTATTCGCTTAATTTCTTTCCAAACTGCAATAGTTATTTTCATAATAAGTGAGCGAAGAGGGTGTAATTTCTTCGTGCAGATTGAATTTTATGCCGAGACCTTATGCGACCGAGGCAATTAATATATCAAAAAATTATAAATACCTTAAAAATATAATATCTGAAAAAGTTTCTAATTTTGTATTAGAATAAGGTATTTGATAACTGGGGAATAGCAGTACATTATACTGGCCATGTTTTGCGTTATGGGATACGTCTGTTTTACTTTGTTATAATTCTATGAATGAAATACTTTTTTCACGTTACATACAGTTCCTACTGTTTGTGACTAAATAAATAAAGAAATAAACGAAGGTAACTGGACAGTTGTCTTGCCAACCATCTGTTTTTAATCAATACTCAAAAATGACCTACTTCACGTGCGGATAGTAATGCGCAAAATCCACCTTATTTATACAATAGTAGAAAAAATATAAGAAAAAACTGTACATTTTAGAACTTTTCGTTTTCGTTTTTGCAATTTACAACGCAAATTTAGTTTATCACCGTTAATTTGTTACAACAAAGGTTTCTTTTTTGTCTACCAAAGATTCCGAAAGAGTCATAGTGTTCATTCATCTAAACTCTCACATTTAAATGTCATGGAATTTCTATCGAGATCAAAAGGAAAGTGCATTAAACGAAAATAGTCAAAGTTTTCAAACGTAAAAGTGATTAATTTTATTACATGATCATAAGATATATTCATGACATTTTGTGGAGAAGAAGAAAGCATCAAAAACCATTAAAGTTTGGTGGATAAGAAATCGTGATCTATATTTTCAAAAGTACACAAAGAAAACGCGTTACCCAAAAGGATTAGGAATGGTACCTCTGGGTCACATAAAACAAAGGAACTAAATCACGGACTGAGATTTATGTAACGGGCGCGGCAACCAAACCTATTTTGAAACAAAAGAAAACTCCTGAAGCCGGCCGGCACAAAAATCCTGAAGATGGCATCGTCTGTATACAGCCATTGGTTCTTGTCGCCTAATCTTTCAATATTCAAATTGTTTCATGCTGATCTACGATGCTGCTCGTATAAAATGCCAACATACATTCAACATTTGAAAATGTATCTATACTACTAATTTCGTATATCTGTGTAAATTGGCGGAGAACTAAGCAGTTTGTGGCCAAGAGAGAAGTGGCAATAGTTTCGATCAATACCGAGGGACTCGGGAAAAATTCTAAAAATGCAACATTCGATTTTGACTCAAAAACGTAAATAATTGAACATGTTTATTCACAATTTCTCTTATCTTGACGTTACTACTATCTTACGTCTCATACTCAGTGCATTAGTGATTAGGGTAGAGCTGACGTCATGCAATGAGGAAGAGTGTGCCATTTTGGATCAGGCAAATTTTGCTCTCCCGAGTCTCCATTTTTTATATGCGCTTGTCAGCGGCATTTTGCTGATGCAGGCCACTTGTACTTTGGTATTCTTATAGTGTGGCACTCAAAAAGCCAATAATGATTCCTCGATCGACTTATGAAGAGAAAAAATGCTCTCACAATCGATTGGATGTCGCTCGACCGGATGTTCTGATAGTGGAATGAAACTGATACAAAGACCTCGCAGTCATTCGTACGGCAATCAGTCTGCTGCAGGATGAATGAGGGAACTTTTGCTGATAAAATATTCGAAAAGAAACCAGCACGTACATCAAGTTTGGAAACCATCATGAAATAAAGTGTAGTTGTTTTTCTTCATTAAAGATACATCAGATATTAGAGAGTGATGGAGTTTCTTCAGGAGGAAATTATAGACGACACTTACGGAATAATGTAAGACTTACTAAAAAATAATGTTTAAAATAACTATTCACTTATTTCTCAAAGATTACTTTCACATTGCTATTTATCCCTCAATTTTATATCTTTAAATGATGTGATGCACTTATAAAAATGAGTGGCTGTTGAATAATAACTAGTGGCACAAGGAAGAGAAAACGTTTCGGTATAAAGCGCATTTCCACTAGTTTTATTTAAATGATTGTTTTGAATAGAAGAGAGCGTATTTATAAATATGACATTCTTTCCATTTTCATTAAAACTATATCACGAATAATTCCTCGCCATACGCGCAGTATCTTTCTCGTAATATCCTCGGCATTCGGCATTATGTTATGCTAATCATCAGTATTGTTTTATACATACATGTGATGGCGGCCGTCCGTCAGTGTGTCCTTCGCCCTATCACAATTCAGTACGCCCCTCATTTCGCTTTTCCCTCCCTTCTACTCCTCCCCTTCCCTCTCTCCGTCACCTCTTTTCACCCTCCCATCCCATCTCCACCACTCCATTCTTCTTCCACCTGCCCCTTCCCGCCTCTTCACCGCACACTCCCCTCTCCCGGCTCTGCCCTTTTACTCCCCCCTCCCCCCTGAGGAGCAACAGGGCAGCGCTGGAGGTGGCGCTCTGCGAGAGGGAGAAGGGTGGGGGAGGGGAGGGGGGTCTTTTCCGCCATGACTATTATCGGAGGCCGCCCGCGCTGGGTCGACGCCCCACGGCGCGGCGCCACCGACCCCCCTTCGCACCTGGCCGGGTCACGTCTCACCACGTCGCGTCACGTCACGTCACGTCACGTCACGTCAGCCCCGGTCCCGGCTCTCTTCGGCCCTCGGCGCCTCGGTC